CACCTTCCCACTGTTGCCAAGATCATGTCACTCCGCTTACTGAAAATTCTTCGATAGTTCCCTAAGCTTTTCAGAATAAAGTCCAAACTATTTCAAACGGCATATGGAACATTCCGTATTAAAAGCACTTTTCCCATAAAAAATAATGAAAAGCACTCTATCGCAACCTCTCCAGGGTCCAGGCTGACACTGCCCTTTAACCGCCCATTTATAGTCAAGGTAAGAAGTCCTGGTGGCCTAATGGTTAAGCACACAACTCCTAACTGAAAGGCTGGTGATTAGAACCCACCCAGCAGCTCCGTGGGAGAAAGACCTGGCGGTCTGCTCCTGTAAAGACTACAGCCTAGAAAACCCTATGGGGCAGTGCTATTCTGTCACATGGGGTCACTATGAGTTGAAAACCATCTCAACAGCACCAAAAAACAACATGGTCAAGGTAAAGAGCCTTCAAGACACAGCTCTTTTGTTGAAGGGAAGCATTGCCACCTGAGTGAAGTTGGGAGGAGACCAAGTGCTGCCACTGGCAACCCGCAGAAGAAAACTGTGTCCTTCATGGTTCTCAGGTTCCTTCACAATGCCAGAGACAAATATAAGACCCAGGGATAGTCCTTCAAGGGCTCTTGGCATCAGAGCTTCACAGTCAAGGTGTGTTTTCTTGACATGACATAATGCCAGCTTACTAAAGTAAGCCTCACCGTGTGCAGAAACATCTCCAGAGATGAAACAAGCAACACCGGTGAAGAAGCATTGCTCCGCCTTCCATTCTCTGTGACCAGCTACACGGCCACACAGCCTGGCAACAATGGCATGTGATGGTGGGGACCGCAGCAAGGTTTGCCTGCCATCGAGGACAGGAACGTTCCAAATGTTGTGGAGACATACATTCGAAAAGAACCATATAGAGATCGCGGGCTCTTTCAAACGCAAGAAACGTAAACAGTAAGAAACGGAACTGTGCTTCTGCGCAACGGGGGACGCACTAGTCTGTTTGCTTACTAAGTAGACATGGATTTTACCTTCTGAATTTGGGGGTCGCTTCCTATTTTTACTGCACCTGCCTCAGAAATTAGTATTAGCACGTTACGCAGAATACCTAAATAATCTTTATTTTCTAAATGGAAATATCATTTCCTCAAGAAAGAATATATCAGAAAAATTTTTTTTCATAGACAAAGTAGCCACACCACTCCCTACTGTTAGACATGTGTCTACTTGCTTTTAGAGTTTACAAAAACAATGAAACCCATAAACGCTTCAACAGAAAATCTTACGTCTCCATGGAAAAATTACCGAGTTCATTGTTTTCCTTGAGGAATGCAGATGAGCTGAAATTATACGTGGCACTGCCAAAATAGCACAGCATTGTTTCCACTAACCATTCGCTCTTCAAATATTTCAATGGAGTAGCTATACCAGTACGTTTGATGTCAGCATGCTCATGAAAAACAATCTATTCTTCCTTGCTTCCAAACATAATATTCCCATTAAAATTATTCTTCATTGGAACCAGAATATGCTTTAACATAAAAAACAGAAAGGATTTAAGGCCACATATGATTACATCTATATGTTCATCCTTGAACAGTATAGTTGAAGAAGATTTGTTTTTGAAAAACAGTCTAAGACTTGGGCTTAGTAGCAGCCAAAACCCCCTCATTCACAGAAAGCATGTGTTATAGTATTACCATTTAGAAATTTGATGCTATATTTTATTTTGCATTTTTTATATTCTGTACTGGTTGTATTTCTCAACAGTTATCAAAAATATTTAGCATTTTTATTCATTTAAAATGAAAACTAGGAATAATCTCATTGCTTCTGAACACCTTGCAAGTTTTTACAGCTTGGAGTACCTGGATTGGTTAAGTTACAGAAGATAAGGAATATGAATTAAACAGTCACTCAACTCTGATTAATCTAGAAAAAGCTGACAACTAGAATGTGTTTAGTTAGTTTTTATTTAATTATAGCCTTCAGTGAGTTACTTCAAAACCGAAATGACCTGACAGTCTTTTTTCCACTGCTGTGCAAACTTTGGCAATACTTCTTTATAAAAACTTTGGCCCTGGTAATATGTAGAACGATTATAAATTACCGTTGCCTTTCTTTCTTCACATGCTCTTCTGAACTTGTGACCCAATTTTGTTATTTCCCTCAACTGCATTATAAATCAGAAAACACAGATCTGCTCAAGTTGACAGTCCGTCGCATTTCAACGGGCTCAACTGCTCGGAGCAGCTGCAGCTCCAGCGGGTTCACGTACATCTTCGCTCACGGACTTTGTCACGTGAGTTTCTACGGAGAGTCGGTCACTAGACGGGGTATGTGCCTCAAAATGCCACGGAGAAGCCAAAAAACTTGTGGTCAAAAAAAGTTTACTACTTTTCAGGGCTTACTTAGCATGAAAACGCAGGGATACAGCTCACACTTCCGGCTGGTCGTCATCACGATCACCCACACGAGGAGGCACGGGAACCTGTTTTCCACATTAAATGAATCGGTTACTGTAGACATTTAAATTTATCTGAACAAATGGGTGATCCATTAATCTGGAAATAAGGGGCCAATGCTTTGTATCAGCTAGTCCTATCCCAAAAAACTCTGGTGCTTAATAATAAAGGTGTCTGCACTTTAATTTTTTATACCAGTTTCATAAAGAGAGAAAACTTTCCCATGCTCTACATGGGCTTTAGTGATCCACACTAAAATTTTACTACGACCCACATTAAAATTATCATGAACATGTGTGTGTGCACATACATATCTTATATGTAATATATATGTGTTTGTGTATGAAAAGGAGCCCTGGTGGCACCGTGGTTAAGCGCTCTGTTGCTAACCCAAAGATGGGCGGTTTGAACCCACCAGCAGCAGAAAGATGTGGCTGCCTGCTTCCGTAAAGACTTACAGCCTTGGAAACCCTATGGGCCAGTTCTACTATGTCCTGTAGGGTCACTGTAAGTTGGAATCCACTCAACAGCAATGGGATTGGTTTTGGTTTGGTGTGCGTATGTATGTGTGTAATACACACACACACACACACACACAAAGTTTTACAAAACAATAATTTTCTTAAAGATATGAAATATATTCTGTTCCATTCCATTTTATTTAAGAAATAAATGCTTGTGCTTTTTTTCTTAATCTGTTTGAAAGCCAGTTTATGGGTGGATGTTTGAGCTTTTACTTTTAGCTATGTTACCCAAAATGTTTCCCAGCTACGACTTCCTTTTTCTCCTACAATCCATAGTGGATATCTAAAGATATCTCCATGTTCCGGCCCCTGGAACCTGGGAACAGAATCTCACCAGGAACAAAAGGACTTTGTGATGTGATTGAGTTAATGACCTCTAGCTGGGATCATCCTAGATTACCCGAGGGGGCCCTGCAATGACAAGTGTCCTTTTAAGAGACACCAAGAGCGGAGACGCAGGGCTAAGAGGAGCAAACCACAGGAGGATGGCGGTAAATATTGGAGTTATGCAGTCACAGACAAGGAATTCCTGAGCCACTGGAAGTTGGAAGAGGAGACAGGATTCTCCCCTAGGGCGTCTAGAGGGAGTGTAGCCCTGCTGACTCCTTGATTCCAGACTTCTGGCCTCTAGGGCTGTGAGAGAATACATTTCTATTATTTTAAACCTCCAAGTTCATGGTAATGGGTTATGTCAGCCCTGGGAACACATCACTTCAAGATCCTTAAAGGTGTGCATGAGGTTAGAATAACCGTAATTCACAGACACACACAAAACGAGCCTAAGATTCAGGTGAATCAGCTGAAGTCCTTTCAAAGCAAAGCGTTTCACAAGATTTAAACTAGAATGTTAAAGCATTAGCTTGCTGATTTCTTTATAAGAAAAATATTTTGGTTTTACTGTGCAGCTAAGATACAGATTAACGCATACAGATGCAATAGGTGAATTCCCAGTCGAGAAATATGGTACCTGTGGAGGGAAGCATTGGATAACGCATGCTCTTGCTAGTTTTCATAGGTACCTTAGGTATTAATAAAAAATTATATGACCTGATGAGTTCAAAGAAAATGTTTAAAAAATCAACGTTTGCCTGTAGAGAGAAATTGATTTTATCATTTCCTACCTTATTTCATTTGGGTATATGCTCATTGTATCAATCAAAGACTTTGACACTAGTATCTCTTGGCTGATGAACACCAGAAAATGAAATGGAGGGAATATTTAAAGGGAGATAATGGGGCAATATAGGTGCAGGTTTTAGAGACGTGTTCTTCTCTGAGACAATTAGTAAAGTACGGTAAAATCCAGAAGCAAAAAATGCAGAACTTATATTAAAACACCACTCTACCACAGTCAAATTAATAATTCTTCTGAACCTGTAGCTATGAAACCAAAATTTAATTTTCAAACTAAAAAATTTAAAGATTAACTTTCAAAATTTAATGAATCAAATTCTGGTGTTCCCCTCTATAGGCACAGTTGTGCAAATTAGGTTGAAGACATCTTTTGTGAACAGCTAAAATCTGTACACTGGGAAATCAGCCATAATGCATATACACAGCATGTATGTGTGTGTGTTTATATATGTATGTATACACTTATACAAGCACAAGACATAAGTAAAATGGAAATAATTGAGCATAGTAAGCAAAAATCAATATTAGGTAAAACATTCTTTATATGATGCTACCGATATCTTGATACAAATATTTGCTATTATATTTTTCTTCAGGGGATAAAATTCACTTTGTCTTCTTGACAATAAATAAATAAATAAATAAGGAGAGAAACTGAAGAAAATATTTTAATTTGATCTTTTTTAGTTACAAATAATCTGCAGCAGTAGCATAGCATCTGGCACATAAAAGGTGTTTAGTAAATATTAAGTGAATGAATTATAAGTCATATGATATATCTTCCCATAGCTTACACAGCAAATTCACAGCTAAAGGTAAATATGAGTGATTAAAAATAACCTTTACTGAATTAACCGACTAGAAGTGTTTTTGAACCCAAGTTCATTCTCACCTCTTCCTTTGTCTTTTTTGATATCACTCGAAGCCAGTCGCCAATCATGCTCAGAACAGCAGCAAAGTAGGCAAGCCCGACAAGGATCCAAAACCACACCACAGGCTTATAGAAGTCCAGATATTCGATATCTGATCCACCTGGGAGGAAAGCAAATTAGACTAACTTCATATTTATAAAAGTAACCAATATAGGAATTTGCTAAAATTATCAACTGAATATTGACTTGCTGAACGTAGAAATCGAATATTCTTGTCAATTGGTCTATGTTACTGTCTTCATAGAGAATTCCTGCCTTCCCACTCACGTAATTGGTATTCTGTTTTTCAAGAAACAGTTAAATAAGTTCTTCTTAATGAAGCTTTTATTTCTCCGGTGATAATGATTTTTCCTTACTGTGCTTCTTTTTCATTGATTACAATCTGTTTCAACTAGTCTAGTACATTAACTATTCCATGTGGACTAGTCTCTCCTTCTGCCTCTACTGGAACACACAGAAAGTGGAGACTTTAGGTATGCATTTAAGTTGCTATTTTTACCTTATTGTCGAAAATATTGGTAACCAAGTGATTCCATGCCAGACTGAACAGAAAGTGGGCAACCCTAGAACTGGTTCTTATTTTAAAGGCATCAATGTAATGGATTGATAACAGTGAGTGCCAGAGATAATGCCTTGATAGGTCTAACTCAGAACAAAGAGTAACTTGCAGATGCTGCTGCCATTGTTCTCTGAATCTGCAGAAACATTCCCGTGTTTGTCATAAACGTAAATCCTTAGCTCTCAAGAAAAAAAAAAAAAATCACAAGAAAAGCTCTTTTTCTTTACTCCCTGAGTTACTTCTCCATCTACTGGGTTCCATAACCGCACCTGTGAGGATCTGGATACGTTCCAACACATCCTATATTCAGCACATATTTACGGGGCACTTATTGAGTCCTGGGGCACTTAATAAGTGGTGCAGTGGTTAAGCGCTCAGCTGCTAACCAAAAGGTGGGCAGTCTGAATCCACCAGCCGTTCCTTGGAAACCCTATGGGGCAGTTGTACTCTGCCCCATAGTGTCGCCATGAGTCCCTCTCTTGCAAAATTCAAAATGTAGTCTGAAAGACCGCTTGCGTAGACAATGAATGACAATGGGGTACTGCGCTGTTTGGGTTTCCTCTAGCCGACCCTGCTCGCTGCGCTGACTGTGGGTAGCAGGCCAGGGAAACCAAGATCATTCCCCTGTGATGCCAGTGTGTGTGGCAGATGACAAATCCCACTCCACACACCTGCTGCATCCTTCGGAAATCTCAGCTTCCCTTTTCAGGTCAGACCCCGGCTGCCCACGCAGCCCTCCCAGCCACCCAGGGCTGGGACAGCGGGTACTGGCCATGAGCCTGTACTTCACCACTCCCTCCATTTCAACCACCCGGCTCCCCCTGCGCCTTTGGAGCTGATAGTTCACTGAACAGCTCACGGAGCTTACGGGAGAGAGACGCCATACCTGTGATAACAGCTGTAATGTAACAAAAAGGATATAAGTGAAGAGAACACAGGGGAAGGCCCAGGAGGGGTCTTAGTACACACCTTCTGTGTCCCCAGGGGAAGCGCCTACTTTCCTGAGATCTGGTGTTGGCTCTCTCCAACCCGGAAGGCTCACTGAAACCCCATCTTCAAAACTTTACTGGCCTCACCACGTGGTCAGAAGTTACATCATGACTCTGAGGTTTAGTCGGTATCAGGCCCCAGGTGAGCTTCTGTCCTTGGGCGGGGCTCTCATCAGCCTTACCTGCCCATGGAAATTACATCATACCTTGTAAGGCTTAGTGAGTACTGGTCCCCTAGGTGATCCAGCTCTCAGGAACCCAGAACAAAAGGCCAAATTGCTTTATGCACCTCACAGGAATATTTGGTGATTAAAAAAAAAAAAAAACACCCACTGCGATCAAGTCAATTCCGACTCATTGTGACCCCGTAAGGTTTCCAAGGCTGTAAATCTCTACGGAAGCAGACTGCCACATCTTTCTCCTGAGGAGCAGCTGGTGGTTTCAACAGCCGACCTTTCGGTTAGCAGTCGATCGCTTCAACCACTGCGCCACCAGGACTCCTTGTATTTGGTGATAGCACAAAATAATTAAAACGTTCTATAAGAGGACCTGGAAGAAATGAATTTCTCTTTTGGATAAAGGATCACGGAAGACTTCTAAAAGATGAGACTTACATAATGAGGATCGAAATGTGGAATAGTTCAGTGTGTGAAAATGCGTGGTATATTAAAAGGGCTTTTAGTAACAAGTAAACCTACATGGGGACGGGGGGCCAGGAAGAATGGTGGCAGAAGAGAAGAATCTAGAATAAATGGGTTGTGTCAGATTGTAATGATCTGACCCTAAAGCAATGGGGCAGGTAAATGTTTATAGGCAGTTAAACGCTGTTATTCGTGGTTGGCAATACGAGCAGAAATATCTAGTGGCAGGGAAGGCAGTAATGACAGGGAAACCAACCATCTAAGAAAGTTTTGTGGTGAACTAGCCAAGAAATGACAGAGTCGCATTAGGCCAGGAATGGAAAGAAGACACTTCCGAGGCAGAATCATCAGGGACTGAAGTCCAAAGAGTTGGCGTGATAAATGGAAGAAAGGGGTCTCTGGTGACCGCAGACCCTCATCAATACCTCAAGGGATACTCGGGAAGGAACAGTGACTAAGAAAAAGTAGTGCAAACTGAGACATGACAGGTTTGAAGTGCCAGAGCTACAAAGAGGTGGAGATCCCAGCAGGATCCTTAAATATAGATCTAACACTTGACAGGAAGAGCAGGAGATAAAGAGTTTAGGGTCAACAGCATAAAGACTGGTAGTACTCAAACAGGAGTCATGGAATTACTCGGTTCCCAAAAATTCAATCCATGTATTCACACTAGCTGTTAATAAGCAGAAGTATATATTAAAACTCAAATATGAAATATTGAGTACAACATTATCCAGTCGAGTTGCTACAGAGTCAATTCCAACTCATGGCAACCCCACGTACGTCAAAGTGGAACTGTGCTCCATAAGGTTTTCAGTGGCTGATTTTTCAGAAGTAGAACACGACGCCTTTCTTCCAAGGCACCTTTAGGTGTGTATGCACTTCCAACCTTTTGATTAGACGGCAAGTGCATTAACTGTTTCCCCCACCCAGGGACTGAGTATAGCATTAAAAAATAAAAAAACAAAAAACCGACTGCCATTGAGTTGATTCTGACTCACAGTGACCCCAGAGAATTTCCAAGGCTGTAAATCTTTACAGAAGCAGACTGCCACATCTTTCTCCACTGCTCTCTATAAATTAGGCTTTCATTGAAGTTACTCTCAATGATATGTTCAAATATTAAAGGGTCAGAGTAAAAAGAGAACATTTTTCTATCAGGTAAATAATATAAACAGGCACAAATCCAGCTCTCTTTGGAGAAAAACAATCATTTTTTTAACACAGTTTACAAAATGAATTTTCAAAGTTATTGTAAAAATCTTTTACTTGGTGCAATATTTTAAAGAGTCATTTCTGGGAAGAGTTATAGAAGCTAAACGTATCTTGTGATGGGTAAGACTTGGCCATGGAGATGCAGCTCTACAAATTCACAGAACTGACTTAAGAAATGTGTGCGGAAACCTGTCATACGATAGGCTTCCTGGCAAGTTCCATTTTTCAAATGTTTCCATTTCAATGAAACCAAAACGACATTTTTGTCCAAGTACTTTCTCTTTCAAAACCAGAAAATCTTCGTCCAAATAATTGACTCACTTAACGCATAAGTTCACCAAGATGTTGATTTTAGAAGAGTTAGCTCATGCTCAAAATGACTTTTTGTAAGTCTTCTTTCTTATAAACAGGATGTCACATTTTGAAAAGAGAAAATTAGCTTAATCACTAAAAGGTCTATATGTGGGTAAAATGTTCAACCCGCAAGTATTAGTGGATTCTAAGCCCAGGAAAAAAAATGTTTTCCCACTCGTACTTGCCACTTTTCAGAGAAAATATCCCCAGTCAAATGATGTACGAGAAATGAATGTAAATAAGAATAGTGTCAAACAACTCACGGATCCTGTTCACTTTCTGACATCTGAGATTAATGAATTAATTTCCACATTAGTCAATTTACTTGATTCATGAATTTTATCCGAATTCAAATCCCTACAATGTTAGGGTAACTTGCTAAAAAAGAGTTGTTAGTTTTATTTTAAAATTAGGAAATTTTTTTTATTCTAATTTTGCTATTCTAAGTATTAATTTTAGTCTAAGTACATTCAGGAAACATTCAGGAAACATGTACATGGGCCTCTTGCTTATTAAGGACCTAGAGTGATTTCTCTGTCCTGGATGGGCTCCCTACACACCCCTCCCCGATCTCCACCCTACCCACCACCCTACTTTCTCTTTCCCCAGGCACCAGAAACAACACCGGCCCCGCTCCAGGGTTCCTTACTGACCTGCAGAAATAGTTACCCCACTTCTTTGTTCCTTTGTTGCCGCTGAAAACATACACACAAGTCCTTTCCATTTTAAGAGCTTTCCAGCTAATCATTACAGGAGAGCAGACAGATGGTAATAAAAATAGCAAAGAGGGGTGAGATAGCAAGGTTTTAGGAACCTTATAAATATTTCCAAGTAGTTAAAGTAAGTCTAGTCATCCTGACTCTTCTTCTTACATGCTATGTGACAGCCTCTTTAGATGATGACCTCTCCCTTGGACCTCTACGGACATCAGCTGGCCTAATCCAACCCGGCAGAGTAAGCTACTAAAAATGTCGCTCAGAAAAGGTTCAGGCTGGCGTTATTGCTAGGGTTCCATTCTCTCCCCAAACGGGTTTTCTAAGTGTTTTGATGCTAAGGATCCCTTTACCTGGCATTAAAAAAGCCCTGTCTTATCTGGTCCCGAAGAGTCCTTCCTGGAGGTGGGGGAGGGCAGCCAGAGCAGCTGTGAGGCCATGACGGGCACCTTATTTACGTCCTAGAAGGCTCTTTCACTCTGGCTCTGGTGGCCCTACATAACCTGGTCTCTATGCTTATTTCGGCCACTAACCGAAAGGTTGGAGGTTCAAATCCACCCAGAGGCACCTCGGTTTAGAAAGCCCTGGTGTTTTACTTCCGAAAAATCAGCCACAGAAAATCCTATGGA